CTTTCAGCAGCCCTCACTGCGCTATAAATAATCTCGATGAAGATGCAAGGATATGACTTTCACAAGATTGGACAATTGATTCAATCTGTGACCCGCGATCGCGAATAATATTGGAAGGCTATTTAAACAGATGAAGGCCTAAATTGTCTTGCTTGTATCTGAATTAATTTCTCATTCATCATCATTATGAAGTGATTGGTCTATCCAAGCTCTTCAGCCTGCTGGAACGGAGCGGGATTTAAATGAGATTGTAACACAATTTAAATGCTTGCTGACTTTAACGAGGCCAATTGAGCAGCTGCAATAAATACAAATATTTTTCTAAACAGCCTTGTTTTAAATAATTACTTAATTTTTCATGTTATTTTTAAGTGGCAATCTTTCTCCTTCTGCTCCTGCTAAGAATATCACATACTTATGTGCTGAGAAGGCGATTTTTGAAAGGACTTTATGTTTCTGTTTGCTTTGTAGAAGGTAGCATGCTTTTCGTGGTTGGCTTTTTTTTTTCTCACTCAGGGTCAGCATTTCGGGGTTCCACAAGTTGGCACACATGGTACACTGCACCTTGGTTTTCCCAATGCAGTCTGATGTGCCTGCCCTGGCAGAGCCAGGGAGAGGCTAAGTGATGGGAGAAATTTGCCCTTTGGACCAAGTCACATATCCAGACACATTTAGCAGGATCTAGCAAACGAATCCCAGCGATTGCACTTAGGAATGACACCCCAAAGAGTGGCATCCTTTCTGACTTGTTCTGATGACTATCATCATCTGGAACAAATCAGAATACCAGCGTATCCCAAAGGTGTCCCTTAGGAAGTTCAATCTGCCAGCAGTTTGGCTCCCGTGCAAGTCGACTGCAAGGCTGAGGATTTCTTTGTTTAGGGAATAGGCAAAGAAAGAGAACCTGGCTACAAAGATTGGTTGGGGGTGTAGTATTTAGAAGAAATCCCCCCCTTTTTTTTGCCTTTTTTGCCCAACCTTCTTTTCCTCCCCCAACTCACTGACTCCTACTCCCTCTCACATTCTGGGGTGATGGTGCATGAAGAAGATGCTAAGAAGGAAAAGCTCTTCTCACTTTGAGAATGCCACCCTCAACCATCCACCACCGCGACACCCACGCTCTTCCACCGACATATGGTGGCGGGTGTTTCCTCAATTGGGAAATAATGGAGGCAACCGAGCGGGAGAAGCCTGGGGGACAAAAGAATCTTTTAAACTCTGGCCAAAAGGTTGGGTGGGTTGGGGGTGGGGAGACCTGCGACTTGCTGCAGGAGACCTAAGCTCCCATTTGTGGGGATCCATCAGGACCCTGTCCCTTTGGGAAGCCTAAGGTGAGAGGGTGCATTTTGAATCACTTCTCCCTCTGCCTGAGAGGGCGCCGGAGGACTCGATGCCTGAGGTGTGAGGATGCACAGTTAGCGGCTGAGAAAGCAGAACCAATATTGTCACTAGACCAGCCATTCGTGGGGCAGACCACACTGGGGGATGCGATCATATTGCAGGCCGGGGGGGGGGGGGTGGAAATAAAACGGGGACAAGGGTGGAGGAACCAAGTGATTTGCTATGTAACTGGGCAATTTAATGCCAGAGTTAGGGAGCTGCTGGCCGGAATCATTTTGTCTTCGGAGGCTCTGTCGAGCTCATCCTCTTTATCCTGTTGTTTAAAATGAGCATTATCCCAAACATATGCAATGCAATCAGTTTGGTCACACTTACAAGAACACGCTTTAATAAGGCAATCAATCACACGCTAACAAGCCGGCGACGGCCAGCGCTGAGCGCTGAGCGTGCACTCCGGCTGCGGGGCGGCTGGTCTTGCCCGGCTGGGAGGACAGCGGCTGAGCGTGGCTTTGCTCTCCCAGGCCCCGCCGGGTCACAATGTGGTTGAGGAGCCCCGGGAAAAGTGTGAAACCCACTCCAAGAGTGAAGTGTCAGACTTCACAAGGAATGATGGTGGACTCCGGGCCCCAAAGGGGCCTAGGGGACTGGAGGGGAAGCCCAAACTTGAAGCTCATAGCTGCATGGGACTCTAATAGTTGTGTGAGATCCAGAGCCTCCATTTTCCCACCTGCAAAATGGGGCCAAGATGGGGCAAAGCTAGGTAGAGGCTTTTAGAATGTTGAAAAAAAAAATGTCCTGTCAGCCCTGTAGCTTGTCTTAGCCTTCTTTTACAGATAAGGAGACTGAGGCTGTGGAGTGGCCAATGCCTTCTTCACCGTCATCTCTCGTCCTCCCCCACTTCCCCCAAAATGTAGGTATTAGGCCAGGTGTGGTTGCTGGGTGCAGGCGGGCAAAACCTGTTTTTAGGTGCAGGGGTGGAGAAGGCAGAGCCAGAAGTGGTGCCTAGCGCCAAACCGCAAACCTTGGCAAAAGGGAAATTTCATTATGAAGTAATGAGTAATTCCTCCTGGCAAGATGTATTGTTATATCTTCCACTTCAATTTGGAGGAAGAGAGGCTCAATTACCCAGAAAATACAGTCAATTAAAGGCTGCTGATTGGACACGAGGCCGGATCATCGATCTTGTACTTTCCAATATCGCTGCAGACACCTCATTTTCCCTCCCTATTAACTGAAAATACGCCTGGCATTACGGCAACCCGCAGCCCATTTACCTGTCGCAAGCAATCTTAGCCTGCCGCGAAGTAACCGCGAAATTTGCCTGGGTTTGGCACTGCAAGCCTCTGGGATGCAAAGGTAGCTATGGAAGGCTGGAAGAGGGAGGTAGTGGGGGAGGAGTGGAGGAGAAGGTGCTGGGAACCTCGGCTCAGGACTTTGCGTGGTAGGGGAGTTTCTCTGGAACCCAAAGAGAGATGGAGGCCCATTAACGATCCCCCATCTGCCCACTGATACACACTGGCAGAGGACCCTTGGAGTCCATGCAATTCTGAGCTCCCAGCCACCTCATGACACCCATCTCTTCCCTGCATGTGCAGGACTCAGAGGCAGCCATCCAGGGTGGCTCTCCTTTGGAACTGAAGATGGTGGTGAGGTGGCACCATCTGTCCCCTTGCCCTGACCAGACAGGAATTCCATTCTTGGAGAGGACTTTCATTTTGAGGACACTCCCATTCCCAAGCCAGGAATCCTCCTCGCTCCTCTCCTTAAACCCTAAGGTGCAGACACTGCTTGACCAGCAAACCTAGCTCCCTGCAGTTCTCAAGCTCCACCACCCCATCCCCCACCCCCGCTGCCTCATTAGACTCCACTTGGGGTTGGGGTCAAATCAGGATCCACAGAGACCACAGTCCAGGGTTCCCTTTCCTCCAAGGGTTGGAGCAACTGGAGAAGAAAACATTGAAGGGGTGAGCCCCAGGTGGGCCAGTTTGCCATGGAAGGCCCCTAATGTGCACAGAATTAAGAAAACATGCACCTCAGGGCCCCTTGGAGCCTGCCTTCCCCGTTTCTGTGCAATAACCGTTTGGAGCCTGCTAATGTCCAACGGGAAGTTTGGGAGACTGTGAGTCCATCGTTTGGTTCCTTCTCTACCCAAGTTTAGGATGGTGGCTGAACTAGCAATCAGAGAATCAATGCACTGCCTGCTTCCCAAAACATTAAAATGTTAAAGTGAGAATTATGTCCAGCTTTTATTGCAGTATGGTTAACAAATTGTAACAGCAAATTCTTTAGGCTTCAAAGGAAAACCAAACCAAATTCATTCCCTACAGGAAGAACCACTCCCTCCCAGTCAGAGTGAAGCTTGTTATGGAGGAGTACACGTTCTCCTATCCCTCAAAAACCGGCTGCAAGAATGAGTGTGAGAGTGAGAGTTTGGGAGTGGCTCCCAAACAAACCCTGGTGATGGGGAAAGACAAGGTCCCCAGAAGGGGCCGAAGGCTCCTGCTAGTATCTGAAAGCCAAGCCCCAGTGGCAGCTTGGGAGAAAAATGAGAGGAAGAAGGATATAAATACCAACTGCAAAGGGAAGAGCCAGAAAGCTTTTGGTAAAGGGAAGATGAACAAGCAAAGGCTTGAAATAGCCTCTAATTTGCTGGTAGATACTGAAGGATGGAGACCGGGTCCCTGCTCCCTAAGCTCTTCCCTGGGCGCCTTGTTAACAGCTCAACCCTGGGCTCGGTGGCCCACCGCATGGCGATCATTATTATACATTCAACATTCAAAACCCCTCCTCGCACACATGACTTGCTAATCAGGGTGTGTATTGGGCCCAGGGAGATGAGAGACTTGGTAGAAAGCTGCCAAGAGGCCCTGAGGCTTCTGCAGCCTCTCTGCCAATGCTAAACAAAAAGTGGGGGTGGGATGGAAGCAGGAGTAGAGACGGAGTTGCAAGTTGAGAGATATCAGGAAGCTAGGAGAGAGGAAAGAGATCAGGTGCTGGTAGATGCCAGAACCAGAAAATGTGTAACCGAGGCTCCAGGAAAGCAAGAGAGCCCCTGGGTTCCCTAGAGGATCAGGATCCTCCGTGACAGTAAATCCCCCCTCACTCTCTCCGCTGGATGGCTGGTGCCACTGCCATCCACAAGCCCCTTGCCCTGCCTTGGGAAAGCTGGCAAAGATTAATCTCTATCTCCTCTGCATACACAGCATTTTGTTCAGAGAGACAGCAATTTCCTTTCCAGTGCCTGGGCTTGGCCTTGGGGTGGGGGTGCGGGGTCCCGGGTGAGGCAGGGGGGTGGGGGTGGGAGGAGGGATTGACCGGCTGCATATCGGTTGCTGTTGCTACTAAATTAGGCTTTGGAGCCACGGCCTCAGCCCCGCTCAGGGGCAACGGGTCCGGTGAAAAACGGAGGGGCCGCCCCAGAGGAAGGTCTCTCGGTCTCCGCGTCCCCATCCCCACTCCTGATCCCCAAACGCGCCCGCCAGGCCGCTTTCCCGGGCGTCCCGATCCTGGAGGCCGAGTCCCTCTCTGGTCCTTTTCGGCCTTCTTTTCCCCCTCGATGCCCTGGGGGCGGGGAGGGGGCGCAGGCTGAGTCCCCGCGGGGGGTGGGGGGAGCCCCCAACCCACGGGCGTCCTGGAGCCGGCAGCCCGCGGGCGGCCCCTTATCTGGTGAGGGGCACCTCCTCCCTCTGGTCCAGCGCCACGGAGGAGGCCTTGCTGAGCACGGAGGGCGCGAAGGTGAGGAAGGAGTCCGAGCGGGAGGTGGAGGCACAGGTGAAGTCCGAGGCGGCGGCGGCGGCGGCGCGGGGCGCCAGCCCGTTGGCCGGGCCGCTGTGGCAGGCGAGGCAGGAGCAGGGGCCGCCGGCCGCCGCACCCAGTCCGTGAGCCGGGCCCGGGTAGAGCGGCGGGTGGCGGAAGGCGCACAGCAGTTCGGGCCGCGGGTAGGGCTGCGAGAGCACGCGGAAGGTGTCGAGCGGGCGCAGCGGGCCGCTGAAGGGCGAGGCGGCGGCGGACGCGGCGGACGCGGCGCCCAGGCCCACGGGCGAGTAGTAGGGGAGCGGCAGGTGCGACGGGAAGGGGTAGGGCAGGCCGCCCGCGGCCGCCGCGTGGCTCATCATGTACGTGTAGAAGGCGGGGTCGGCCGGGTGCGGCCACGTCATGGCCAGCCGCTGCCGTTTGTCCTTCATGCGCCGGTTCTGGAACCACACCTGGGGGGGGGGGGAGGAGCAGGTTCGGCGGCGGCACGGCCCGTAGCGCAGAGCCCAGAAGTCCTGCCCCGCTGCAGGGTAGTATGCGGGTAGCGCAGGGAAGAGCCGAGGCAGAGCCCCCGGGGGTGGGGGTGGAGGCGGGGGGGGGGGGGGGCGCATCCCACCAGCACCACCACCACCACCTGGAGCTGGAATCCCTTACGGAGAGGTTCGGGGAGTGGCTTCAGTCTGCGTCCCTCCTTCCCTCGGCCACGCGGCCGGGACCCCTGGGGTGCCAGAACCGGTTGTGGTGCGCAAAGGAGTGAGGTAGACTAAGATCTCAGCCCGTCTCCCCTTCCAGCCGCGCGCTCTCGGGGCAGAGGCACCCCATTGCCACTGTGTATTTGTCTAGAAAAGGGACAGAGGCAACCGAACGCCAGCAGTTCCTGCTTAGGGACTGTGGGAAAGGTAAATCTGCACACACCTGGTACCTGCACCAGACCTGGACACCCCCAGCCTAGCCACCACGTGGGCAGGGAGACCCCAGGCCCTGATTCTTGGCTCAGGATTTAGGGAGTGGACAGTCGGTATTTACTTCCTGCTGAGTGGGCACACCCCTTCTCCTCTGTGGCCTGTCGCCAGAGCTCATACCTTGATGGTGGTTTCCGGAAGGTTTAGGGCGGCGGCCAGCTCGCATCTCCGAGGCCTGGACACATAGTTCTCCCTGTAGAACTCTTTTTCCAGCCGGGCAATCTGCTCCCGGGTGAAGGCTGTGCGGTAGCGGCGCATCTGGTCACTGGCGCTGCAGGCCAGGGTGCCCTGGGAGCTGCTGCTGCTGTTGCTCTTGGGGGCTTCACTGCCGCTGTTTGGACTGCTGGCCAATGCCTCTGAGCTGGGCCCTGTGTGGGGAGCCCAGAGCACATGCACACACAGAACACACAACAGACACACAAAACACTGCTGATGTGGGGCTGTAGGCCCAGTGTGCATGTGGATGGTGGGGTGGAAAGGCACCCCCCTCCTCTCAGTAGCCTCAGTTTCTGCCTCCGTTGGGGCACAGGAGACTTTGAGAACACGGGAAAAGAGGGATGGGGTCTCACCATTCAGATGAGCACAAAGCAGCCCTCAGGCCTGGCTGGACTGCTGTTTGGGAGACCTCTCTTAAGGCCTGCTGGGTACAGGAACCTCAGCCACCTTGGTCACCTGCCCTGAGACACAGACGAGATGCAGACTCTCTGAGCTTTCTGCCCACCGTTGGCAGGACTGGACAAGGATGTGCATAAGTGACAGACTAGTTGAAATACACCTTTGTGCTGAAGTGTAGTGAGCTCTGGGTCTTAGTGCATTGTAGGATACTGCACACAGGCTGGGTCCTTGCTTTTGTGTGGGCCAGGCTGCCAGTGTAGGTGTGGGAATGTGTACTAGGTTGCACCCGATGCAGGGATGGCATAGGAGTGTGTGTATGAATATCATTATTACCTTGGTATATTTGAGTGGCGTATGGTTTCTGAGGGCATGCTATGGTTAGGAAATCTGGGTTGAATGGACAAGATGGTAATGAGTGATGTGGGTGCTCAACCAGGTGTTGGCTGCCCGGGCAAGAGGTGGTATTTCTTCCATACCAGGGTCTTCCCATCTACCCCCATAGCTTTGTGGAAGAGTGTCTGCTGATGGGCTCTCCCCCCCCCCACCTACTTTCCACCCCTCTCTGGGGGACTCCCTGCCTGGCCACCTCCCCCACAAACTAGCCCCTGATCAGGGAGGGGTTCTCCAAGTGAAAGCAGTGTGACAGCATCCCTTTTGGATCTAACCCAAGGAAGGGTGGGGCTCCTGCCCCCTGCAGCTCCTTTTCCTTTGGGTGGAGAAGTGGGACTGGGAAGAAAAGGGGAATGGGGGAGGGCTAGAGCTCTGCCTTTTCAAATGCAACCGGAGACCAAAGGCAATTAGATCATTGGGACCATTTCCGACCTGGCGCCACCGAGCCCGGGAAGTGACAAGGTAATTTGGACCTCTGACCGACGTGCAAACTGGTCGGAGGGCCGCAGCACCCAGGCAGCCCGAGTCAGCCGCGGTTTTACGGTCCTTTATGGACTCCGGGCTTCCGCGCCTGGATGCGCCTTACACCCCGCCAGCCACAAACTGCCCCGACCCGCGTTTGATCTCGCCCACGCTGGGGAAGGTGTCTTGCCCGGAGCAGTTGAAGCAGTGCCACAAAACTCTAGGGGGTTGGGGTGCACTTTGAATCCCCCTCAAGCCCAGGGCTTGCGTCTCCCTCCTCCCGCAAAACACAGCTGTCACCCTCGGTCCCGCCAATGCCAGAGCACAGAAGGAGACCCCCGCCAGGGCGCAGATATCAGGGGAGAGTTGCTCAGGTGGGTCCCCCCAGCCACCCTGCCCTGGGGGAAAGGAGTGCCTTCCTCCCCTCCAGAGCTGAAGTGCAAGGTGGGCGCGGTGGGAGGCCCGGGGAGAGAAGGGGCGCGGTGGCTACCTTTGCTGTGCTGGTACTCGGCGTTCCCCGTGGCGCAGTCCGGGGTGCAGCTCACCTCGATTTCTTCATAGAAATCCGACTCGGTGTCCGAGCTGCTAGGTTGCCCCTGAGCCGAGAGGCTGTCGGCGGAGGACACTGGAGGTCCGGGGCCAAGCACCGCAGCTCCGGCTGCCCGCGGCTCAGCGCCCGGCCCCGCAGCGCTGCCTGCTAGTCCGTCCACCGGCTCCTCCTCCAGGCCTCCCCCGCCGCGCTCCCGGGCGGCCGGAGGACCGGCCCGCGGACTCAGGCAACCACGGGGCACCATCTTCTCGGGCGGCTCCGGCAGCGGGCTGCCCACGGCTTCGGACAAATTGGAGACCCTCTTGCCAACCAGAGTACCAAGCTGACCCGCATCCAGAAACATAACCATGTCCTTTCGGCTCTCCATCCCGGGGCTCGCCGGAGGGGGGAGGGAGTAAGCCCCAAGTGACTCCTAGCCCCCGGCTCCCCGGTCCCCAGCGGTCGGACAGATCTTGGCTGCGGGAGGGAGAGAGAGAGGCCAGGCGACTGGGCGGGCGCGGAGCGGCCGGAGTGCGATGTCGACGGTGACGGCGGTGGTGGCGGTGGGGAGCTGGGGTCACCTTGTGATGCGAGCGCTCCTCTGTGCCGCACCGCCTCTGGGAGGAAGCCCCATTGCCCTCTTCTTTCTAAGCTGTCATCCTCCTGCTGCAATCGTCATTACAGTACCGCTGGTGACGCCACTCGGCGAGCGCAAGTGGATAAATAGAAACGTCTGCCACAGCGAAGATGAAAGGAGACCCGCAGCTAATGGCTCGGCAGTGATGCGCCAGGTGTGGGCCTCGCTCGAATGGGGAGGAGAGTGTGAAAACAGACAGAGAGACACACACACTGAGACAGGGAGACACCCAGGCAGAGGACATGCAAATGGAATTCCGCAGAAAGAAAAAGAGAGCTTAAGGCGCACGGCGAGTTCCGCAGGAGCTGCGGGACTCGGTAATTGAATAAGCTTCTGATTTTCTTTTTTTTCCTGATTGTTGTTTTGGCTTTTGTTTTCTTAACTTGGTGCCTTGATCTAACACTGATGAGAGAATCCATAACTGCATTTTAAAAGTGTGAAGGCCGACTCACAAGCCTCGCTTCTCTCGTCATTATTACAACTGGCTGTCCTGGCGAGCTAACCTCCTAGGGGCTCCAAAGTCTTTTTACAAGCTACCGAAAAACATATTCCCTCCTCCCACCGCTCAGTTGTCTGGAGAGCTTGAGCCTGGGGTATCCTCTCTTCCTCCTCCCACCCTCTACCCCCAGATGTCTCCTTCCTCCTGGAAACCAAGAGAACTTTGCTATTTTTCTTCCCGAAGGAGCAGGAAATAAATGCCTTAATATTTTTTCTTTAAGGGTTTGTCTTAGCTGCTGACTCCAAATGTTTGCTGATTTTTTTTTTATTCCCCTTCCCCCATCTAGGTGGCCTTAAGCTCTCCACAGCTCGGCTTGACCTCCAGGTGGCTATTCGTAGAAGAAATCGTTTTCCCATTTGCTTGGGCCTCGCCTGCACTTCAGGTATGTAGGGTGGGGAGAGGTTCTACGAATGGCCTTTTTTCTTTTCTTGTCCATATTTTAAGGTATTCGTTCAGAGTCAACGAATTCCTCTGGAAACAGGTTTTGCGAGTGAAGAGGCACTGAGAAATGCGGCCCCTATGACCGCAGTGCCAGAGGCTGCTTGCTGGGAAACCGTGCCGTTCTCACCCAGTAACTGGGGGCAGGGGTTGAGAGTGCCCAGCACACTGCATGGGGGTTCACCGAGCTTTGGCACACAGGGTTCTCCCCCAGGTCCTGCCCACGGGCTTCACTGGCACTGAGGGTAGAAGAGAGCCGTCACCAAAAATGCCCTGAAATAGCAAGTGACTAGGGGCACTCCTAAATATTTGAGGACAGAAAGGGAACCTCTAGGGCAGGGCTGGGGGGAGTTTGGAGTGCTTGATGTCTTTGGGAGACCTTCTCAGGTCCCCTTCCAGGGAAGGTCTGACAACCCATTAGGAAACTGACCCCTCCTTGCCAGCTCTGAGCAGCGGGCTGGGGCCAGACCGCCATGGGCGGCCAGGTCTCTCCCCACTTTGCTGTGGGCAGAAGGTAGGCTCCTTCTCCCCTGTGCTATCCCTAAAACTCTCTTTTCTCTGTCTCTCCCCAGAGCTCCTAGCTCTCAGCCATCTGGGCTGCCCCCTGCACCCCGCCCTTCTCCAAGTCCCAAGGCAAAAGCCCCAATTTCTGAGATTCTAAAGAAAAGTCTATCACTATCTTTTTTGTCTTGTTCTATCTCCTACTTTGTTCTCCTCCTCCTTTCTCTTTCTCTACTCTTCTCTCCCTTTCCCCTGCCTCAATCTAAGCCATCGGTGGGCTTGTGGAGGTCGTGGAGGAAGCAAGGGGTTCAGGCAAGACAAAAGTTCTCTTCTTACTCCTGCTTTCTACTTCCCCTCTTCAATCAGAAGATGCTCATTAACCTCGCCTGGGGTGGAGGTGGGGAGCGGGCAGGGGGATCCGGAAGGTAATGTGGGCATAAACATCTCCACTCCCGGGGACTCCCAAAGCCACCATCTGCTGAGCACTGCTAGTTCAAAACTCCTAGGGACTATTCTAAAGGTGACAGAAGCGACTGGGACTGGAGGGGATCAAACCCTAGAACCTTTTGCTGCGTCGCAGAGTTGTCCTGGGTTTCTGTCACGCCCTGCCCTTCCCAGCCAGTAGCCAGAGCCAGAAGGAGCACCTGGCTTACTCTTTCCTTCCTGTCAAAGTCGAGCCCGCAGAGCCCGTGTTGGAGCTGCCTCGGTTGGGCCCTTCCTGCACCGAGCCTGAGCTTCGCCCACCCTCTGCTCCCCCACCCCCACCCCCGCCCCCGCCTCCGCCCCCCCGCCCCCCTGAGCCTGCCGCCTTCTCACCGTCGCCCCCGCTGCGCTCACCTCCTCCGGGCCGGGTCCGCGCTGGGACTCCCTGCTCCCCGCCCCGCCCCCAGCTTTGCATTCAATGGGAGTGCTCCGCGTTTGATCCTCTTTTCCTCTGGGTTTTCCCTGCCAGATGAAAGCCTAGTGGATTGAGAGATCAAGAGGTACCACTTGAGTCTCCTTCCTGGGTCCGGCCCACCCAAGCGGGGCTTCCCCGGCTGTCCCGGGGAGGAAGGCGGCTCCAGTGGGGGCCTCAGCCTCTTCGGGTGGGGGGCTGCCTCCCGTGGGCTGCGAATCTGAAGCTTCAGGGACGCCCCCTCAGCCCCATCCCTCTCTGTGCTTCTACCTCTGCCCTTTCAAAGCAGCTTCAATCCCATCACCACCACCCCCGCCCTCCTCCTCAAGCCTCTGGGGGCCTATTGCACCCTCTGGCATAGGGGGAAAAAACAAAAATGTTAAAATGTTTAACCAAATGTCACTTCTTCCAAAAGCATCCTGTCGTCAACATCAGATGAAGAGAAGTCGAATTTTTAACAAGAGGAAGAAGGGGGGGGGTGCTGAATAAGAACACAGTTTGTTTAGCCTTTTTGTATGGGGGGGAAAGACTATTTTAATAGCATCGTTATCACTGTATCATGAAGGTTATTCCCGACGACACTAAGAAAGGTAAATTCGCAAAGAGAGTGAAGTCCGCGGGCCCGCAGAGGCCTGGGAAACCCCACGAAAGCGGAGAGGGGGTGATAGCAGCCTAAGTGGGGTCCGGCCTGGGCTCCCACTGCTTCTCACCTCCCCTCGCAGGGAAGACCCTCTTCCTCCACCGCCCAGCCCTGCTGTCCCCTCCCCCCGCTGGGAAAACGGGTTTAGGTCCAGCCGGCTCGTCTCCGATTGAAATTCTTTGGACTTCAAAAGCTCGAGGCTCCGCTTCCGCCCGGGCTGGGCTGGACCGGGGGGTGGGTGGGAACCCCCGGGGAGGAGACGCGGAGATAAGATGCGCGGCTTGTGTTAAATGGAATCGGAAGCCGGGCTTGGGTCACCAGACGCGTTGATCCGCTGGAGCCGCTACGCTTCCCCCCAAAAAACCCCCCGGCTCCCGAGAGCAACGGCAGGGGGTGGGGAATGCCTCGGTGGCCTTCGGACCCCGCTTGGGTGCGGTGGTCTGCCGCCCGAGTTATCTGCATCAGACATGCGGGGCCTCCCGGCGGCGGGCGCACGTCCGGCCCGAAAGGAAGGGGCGAAGGCTTCCGAAAGCTGGTTTGGCTGCTTCGGTGCCAGCGAAATTGTGATCAGGAAAAATTGTTTTTGCTTCTCACTTCGGTAAAACCCAAGAACAAAGGGCGCTTGCTTTTAAACAATAAGCGTTGCCCAACTGTCGTGGATGTTGATCTTGGGCCCTTGTCATCCAGGCCGTGTCTCCGGCTTGGACATCGGAGTTCCCGCGTGGCTGGGTCTCCGACACCGGAATCATGGGGGTGAAGGGACTTCTGGGGTTGGTCCCTGTCTTGTCCCTTGCAGCTGCCAACGCCCACGTGAAAACCCCAAGCGCAGAAGCACCGCGGAGCGCGCCCTCCAGGAGCGAGGTCCCCTCTCGATCTCAGACGCCCAGAGGTCCGGATGCCAGAGGATCACACCTAGTCCACTTCCCCCAACCCCTCGCCCACCCCATAGAGGGAGTCCCTGGCACACTAGCTTGCATGGGGGACCACAGAACAGTTTCTCCTGCAGGGAGAACATGCAGCTTCTGGAACTCTGGTTTGGACAAGTGCCCCTTCTCTCCGCACCTCCCAGAGGGAAGGGCCAGGAGTCTGGGACAGAAAACTGGATGCTTTCTGCCCACTGCTCCTTAGGTCCTTGGAGCCAGCCAGCCCTGCAGCGGCTCTTGCATCTACTCCTGTTAGCCCCAGGTTCCTATAGGTCTTAGGTGGCTTTCCCACCCTGAGCTTCAGACAACTGCCTGAGCAGCCCACACTCATGACTTGCCCATCCCAGGGCTGGAGGACCCAGGGCAGTCAGGATGGGAGGCCTGAGGACCTCCACAAGCTCAAGGCTTGCTTCTGCCTCAAGCCACCAACTGGAAGGTTTCCTTTTCTCGTGGAGGACCAATTCCCCAACATCCAGCAACCAAAGCCCAGGTATACCTCTCCTCCCACCCTGACAGAGATAGTATGAGTTTTTCCTTCATCATTACTATCCTGAAATTTCCTTTCATTACAAGCCCATTTCTCGTTTAATCTACCCAACATTCCTTTAAAAGTCTTCAACGTGCCTTAGTGCCTTTTCTCTCACAGTGATAAGGTAACCAGTGGTCTTGACTCAAATGGGCCTGGCTGAGTGCAAAACACTAGACCGGCCAGTCCCTCCCTGGCCTTCAGGGATGCCTCAACACCCAACAGTGCCTTAACTCTATGAAGCAATCCTCCACAAGCCTCCTGCCCCTTCTGGGATCTAGGTAGGACCAGGGGCCCCTCAGAGAGGTTGTCCACGTGTCTTCAGAACC